TCGTCCAATATTCTGCTTCCGGCTTCAAGAGGGTCTACAAAGGTTGTAAGTGAAGGGAACAATGAAACGAGGTTAACTTGAACCGTAAGAAAACTTGGAATGACGTACAAGTTACGAATTCGAGAAATCTGTATCCCCAGCAATGCACTCCGCTGTCGTAGAAGTAGCTCAGGCACAAAATTATAACTTTCTGTGCCCAGACGGATACGAATATTTCTTGTAAATGCCATAAGAATAGAGTTTGTTAGGTGCAGTTTTACCGCACCATAAACTGTGATTAACAGTTTTGATGGAATCCACTTCGTCAAAGCTGTGAATCCACACATGCTTTGGAGTCGACGGAAACTTTGGTTCTCTGCCTATTTATAAAAGCTAGAATTTCAAAGGACTGGTATTTTGTTGTCAGTTGTCCCTCGTGGTCCCAGGGCATTGAGCGGGAGGAATCTCAGCCGGCCTTCCCAAGGTTTCCTAAAATTGGAAACTCGCATAAGGCCTAACCATTGAACGGGTGGATGCAAGCTCTGCATCAAAGAGTTTGGCAGGGCACTTGGACGTTGGAGCTCAAGATGGGGTCCAGTGGTTGTGGCTGCGGGCCATCTGAGTGGCACGAATCCCACATAAGATGGTGCCACTTGTTGAACCAAACTTTATTGCCCAGGGGTATTGGCTGGCTACTATAGTCGGTTACAATTTAAGAAGGTAGGAGAAGCTCCTCCCACAAGCGTGATGCGCCGGTTTCAAACCCATCCGCTGTCGAAAGAAGAGTTCACTGGAAATGCTCCTTGTTCCGCTTCAACGGATTCCAACTTGTCTCCAATCCCACTTTTTAAACCTTTGTATTCATCGGAGGGAAACCGAGCCCCTGAAAGCAGCCTTTGTATCCGTCCGAGGGAAAATCTTATCCCGGAAAGTCGTATTTGTTTCCATCGGAGGGGCAAAACTCTAAATCTCCCTCTCGTGGCTTCCACAATGCTAAGTCAAAGTCGAAAGATAAAGCAAATATGTACAGAAAGGCAAGACCCTCCTCGCGCATTGGCCGCGACGACACGGAAACGATGGGACGCGTAGGTGGCAGGGGGCAGGGGCGGATTTAGAGGGGGGGTCCGGATGTCCTGACCCCCCCTCTTGATTTCTGCATATGTAAAATTTAGGGCGTGAAACGAGGGAGAGGGGGAGGGGTTTCCTGAACATATGGTACGCTGACCAACACCTGACCCCCCCCCCCCCCCCCCCCCCCCTCAGGAAATTCCTGCATCCGCCCCTGGGGGGATATTTGATCCCGCTACCTTCTTGACTTGTAACCTACTATAGTGATGCATAAACTATCGATAACTTGACTATCGATAGTTTTTCCAAAACTATCGATAGTGTCGCAAAACTATCGATAGTTTTTCGATAGTCGACTCTGTGTCGGGCTGCCGGGAAATTCTGCAACAGAGGCGATGTGAGTGCGCACGTCCTGGCGAGCGGGATTGTTTGCGAGTGCTCTGGAGATGGCCGCTACGTCCCACCTTGCCAAACATCGCCAACCACGGTCGGACCCCAAGGCCGAGAGGCTCCAGTGCAGGCAGCAACCCCACAGAAGTAGGAGCCACTCGTTCTGTGGTATTATGCAGTCCTTGGAGCTCTCGGTGTCATTTGTTCTTGAGCCAAAACCTCTAAGGACTCCCTCGGATGCAAAAGTTGTGATTCACATGGCCTGGATTAGTGCTGTCCTCAGCATAAAAGCTATAAAACGCTAGAGTTTCTTCTCAAGAGAAAACTGCGGGCGAACACACAGCACTACTCTCTGCCGCCAAGGTTGGCCGCCGCCATGTTCTCAGTTCACTCGATTCCGCAGCGAGTGCCTTCCGATAGTCCTCCCTGTTTCGAAATGCGATGTGACCTTTAATTACATGATCTGAATGGATGCACATTTGCCGTCTCAATCCACATCAGTCTTTAGACTTGAATGTAATGCACTTCCCTAGCACATTATGCCGTTTACATGACCACATTGAATGCGACAACTAGATTCAATGTGACTAAGTTGCATTTATGTAAATGTGGCTACTGGCAAGGGTTGGTACTCGGTATATCAGCCTAAACTTCCTCCGTTGCTGCCATGCTTGAGGCGTACAACTGCATTAACACACTCGACCACTGTTCCCCTGCACTGAAACTTGATTTTCATTGCATTACCTGTTCAGGTATTGATAAGTATATGACGATAACAGAAAAAGCAACTACTAAATTCTGTATTTCTTTAACAGCAGATTTACAACAATGTCCTTGTGCTCTGGGTCTCGGAGCAGATTGCACACTCCCAGCATACCTACAAGAAAGTGCAGGTATTTACGTGCTTCGTAACAAGATACAGGCTTTACACAACCCTCGGGACACGAGCAGATTGCACACCCCTAGCACGCCTACAAAATTCGAGTGGAGACATTTACATGCTTAGTAACAGAACATAGAGGCTTGCACAAAACACATGGGACACGAGTAAAATGCACACTCCAAGCACGCTTACAAAGTTTGAGTGCAGGCATTTACATGCTTATTAAGAAAAAAGAGAGGCCCACACACAACACTGGACACTAGCAGATTGCACGCTCCTAGCGCACTTACAAAGTTCAAGCGGAGGCATCTACATGCTTGGTAATAAATTAGAATGGCCCGCACATGGGACACGAGCATGTTGCGCACTCCTTGCACGCGTACAAAGTTCAAGTGCAGGCATTTACATGCTTGGTAACAAAAGAGGAAGGCCCGTACACAGGACACAATCAGATTGCACACTTCTAGTACGCCTACAAAACTTGAGTGGAGGCAGTTGCATGCTTGGTAACTAAATATGGAGGTCCACACAACTAGGGTGCCTACATGTTTCCGCCGCTCCGCTGTTTAGGGTGGCGACAACGTTTGTGATACCTGTTGCTGACAAACCAGTGTTGCCTACCTCGTTACCATGGCAGCCTCCGCTGTTTCGTCGACCATTTTGTCACACTCGCCCGTCGTGTGCTCGCGCTACTCCGCTAATCCTCGTTAGGGCTAGGGAGCGCCCACCGCTTCTCGTTTCGACGGCGAGGTTTCGGCATGCGATGCCGGTCTGTTGCGTTCCATTTTGTCGAGGGGACTCACGTTTCGATAAACGCAACGCATACTTCCTGCTCGCAACTTCAAAGTATCAAACACCCGAATAAAGAGAGCGACAGCCTCGACGACCGCCATTCCGCTGAGCCTTTGACTCGTCCGACTCCTCTTATGAACGGAAACGGAAGTGTCCTCACAGTGTTGCCGGTGTGTCGAGGCTACAAAAACTCAACGTTGTGTACGTAACTTTCAGGGCGCCGAAAATACACAAGGACAAGATACAAGAAAGGAGACGTGAACAAGGCGCACTCGCAACTAGCGTTTATGAAAAAACCACTCTCTTATATACTCATGGAAAACAACACAGTCATACTACACAGTCATACTACACAGTCATACTACACAGTCATACTACACAGTCATACTACACAGTCATACTACGTCCGGTGTAGCCCCCTTCGTAGAAAAGTGTGCTCTTTTGCCGATATAGTGACACAGACGTGTCACTAATGCAGTCCTTGCCCTTTTCTTTTATTTTGAAGGCCTCGTGCAGCTCCCTCGATATCCGATCGGCGTATCTGGCCAAAAACCTCGTGTCACTAAATGACGGTGTGCAGGAGCAACGGCTGCAGTGCGTGGCGAAGTGTCCCGACGGGGTAGCCCGTGTAGCCGCAGCATGTTCGCGGGCGCGATCATTAAAGCATCTGCCCGTTTGGCCAATGTACGATGCTCCGCATGACATGGGGATTTCGTATATGACGCCCGTAGCACATTCCGTGTACCTGTTGCGGTGCTTCGTATTGCAAGGATCTGCTGACTCACGGGGATTGTTGATTCTGCGACACAGTCTCGATAGTTTGTTTGGTGCGGAGAACACAATAGGCACATCGTACCTATCAGCAACCTTTTTAAGATTGTGGGTTAGTGAGTGCACTCACTAACCCACAATCTTAAAAAGGTTGCTGATAGGTACGATGTGCCTATTGTGTTCTCCGCACCAAACAAACTATCGAGACTGTGTCGCAGAATCAACAATCCCCGTGAGTCAGCAGATCCTTGCAATACGAAGCACCGCAACAGGTACACGGAATGTGCTACGGGCGTCATATACGAAATCCCCATGTCATGCGGAGCATCGTACATTGGCCAAACGGGCAGATGCTTTAATGATCGCGCCCGCGAACATGCTGCGGCTACACGGGCTACCCCGTCGGGACACCTCGCCACGCACTGCAGCCGTTGCTCCTGCACACCGTCATTTAGTGACACGAGGTTTTTGGCCAGATACGCCGATCGGATATCGAGGGAGCTGCACGAGGCCTTCGAAATAAAAGAAAAGGGCAAGGACTGCATTAGTGACACGTCTGTGTCACTATCGGCAAAAGAGCACACTTTTCTACGAAGGGGGCTACACCGGACGTAGTATGACTGTGTAGTATGACTGTGTAGTATGACTGTGTAGTATGACTGTGTAGTATGACTGTGTAGTATGACTGTGTTGTTTTCCATGAGTATATAAGAGAGTGGTTTTTTCATAAACGCTAGTTGCGAGTGCGCCTTGTTCACGTCTCCTTTCTTGTATCTTGTCCTTGTGTATTTTCGGCGCCCTGAAAGTTATCATGAACCAACTAGCCCAGATTGCCATTCTAATGTTGTGTACGTTTAGCGAAATAAGAAGTGGGACAAAATGGCGGTGGGAGAGGATCTGGGAAAGGGTAACAAGAAGTTGGCGCCACCCTAAAGCGGAGCGGAAACATGTAGGCACCCTACACACAACACTTGGGACATGAGCAGATTGTAGTACACTCCTAGCATGCTTACAAAGTTTGAGTGCAGGCATTTATGTGCTTGTTAATAATAAAAATAAAGAGGTATGACAACAATTTCAAGCAGAGTAAGTCCCAGCATAAAGATTAAAAAGGCTCTCACAGGTTGAAGCAATCTGCACACTGTAGGATATCCACGAAAATGTCACCAGTGGCATTATACTCTGTTTCATACTTAGTGTGCAGCGTTGTCAAAGCTACTGACGCGAGCGTGGGGCTTGATCTCGTTGATCATTTGCACGCATTCTCGCGCAAATAAAACCGTAGTTGAAGCCCTGCGCTCGCGCCAGTAGCCTTGACAGTGTTGCACGCTAAGCATGAAACAGAGTCTAGTCACCCCTTGCATTAGTGTCCTGATCCATGAGATTTTGCGTGTGCCCTCTCGCTCTCGACACTTAGGTGGATGCTGTGTTTCTGCTTGATCTTTTTGGCACTGGGCCCTTTGGGTGGACGGCCTGCAGGCACTCTTTTGGACCCTCTTGTGATGCCCGATCTGCGCCGAGCGATAGCTGTTGGCTGTACTTTGATACGAGCTCCACATCTTTTGGCCCTCATACACGCCATATTGGTTGCAACAAGTGCAGCCATTACCTGCCCCTCGTTGCACTGCTTCTTCATGTGTGTCAGCATGCGCCGCAGCTGTGCTGCATAGCTAGGGCACTCCAGCGCCAGGGTGCGATGCCTTAACATCTCTTCATGGATCTGGTGAAGGAGCTCCAGAGATTCCTGGAAATGGAATGTCATTTTGTGATAGTTATAGAACTAAGTTATCACAAACCATTTTCATTCTTTTTTTCATGGCTTCTAAAGAGGAAATATCAGAAATATGCAGATTAATGAAGCATGTCGATGAGATGGGAATAATGAAAAAGTAATTTATGTAGAGGAGTTTCAACGAATTCCTTTTGCACTTTGATAAGGATACTTGATTGCAATACTGTGCATGTGCAAAGGCCCGAGGAGAAAATATGATTGACATGCTAAAACTGTTCAGTTGCATCTATGATGTAACCTTGAGTATGAAGGTATTCCCGCATGCAGCTAAACGCTGACTAGTTCATATGTTAAATCGGTTCTGTTGGAACTGTCATGGCATAAGGTAGTTTTTGTCGATATGAAGCAACTTTTATGAATCTTTAGGATTGTTAGTACCTTGCAGCAGTTTGTCATATGTTAAAAGAATACTGCAACAAAATTCTAGTGCCTATTTTGCTGTCTAAATGTCAACCACATTCTGGCCACACCACGGAGATACCTTTATTTTGCTCAAAAAAACATCAAAACATTTAGGAACAAACCTAAAGTCGTTACGTCACTCTGGACTTAAAAGCAGCACTGCTCCGCGGAAGTACGGTAGCAAGCTGCGTGCACGCGAGCCTTGTTGAACCACATTTCCTTTCTCTCTTGGCCTATTCAACTCCTGCGGGGAGTGGCGAGGGGCAACTAAAACAGCCAGGTTCTAACACGTTTACGACACCAAATGGTGTCGCCCCCATGCTCACTAAAGCTCTCCTTGCCACAGTATGATCGCACACTTTTGCACTCGCCCTCTTCCCCTTTGATCTTCCCCCCCTGCATGCGCCATGCAAGACCTTCGTGGACAACGGCGAGTTTGTCCTTGACGCTCTCGTTGTCGCTGCAGCTTATTGTCAGCGGGTCGAAATCAACATTACCAGCTTCCAAGATCTCTTGATAACAGTCACTCTCATTGCTGCTGCAATCAGTGTCAAAGACTCTAACAAAGCAAGTGATGTCGTGGGTGTCATCGTCTCAAAACTGCGTGCTCTTAAAGGAGCTGTGCAACAATTTCAGGGCTTTGCTTAAATAATTGTGGAAGTTGATGCCTGACACTTCTGAAGTGAACTACAGAAATGGATACCCTAGTTTTTATTTTTAAAAAAATTAAAAAGATCCATGTTTTTGCCACCTCTCAGCTCGTAATCGTCTTCCGGGTCACGTGCGCAGTGACGTTGGTGGGGTAGGCGTGGGGTTCTGGTGAAGGTCTCTCTCTAGAGCCATCCGTGAGCAGCAAGAACTCCTCCGCTCGCAACCGCGAGACCACGTGCTGGCGGCCGCAGTGCGAACAATATGGTAAAAGGAGAAAAGCCTCATCTGGGTCCGGCCATACCTGACCGGCCCTGTCCCCCTCCCCCTCCGGCTTCTGGCGGCTGTTCACGGGAGCAGGTAGCGCTGACTGTTTTGTGGACCTAGGATAGATGGCGCCACTAAAGCTCCGCACAAGAAAAGTTTTGTCGATGATACCAGGTTTTTGACCCATTTATATATATGTTGGAATAACAAGATTTATAGAAAAGTTACCTTTTATCGAGCAGGTATTGGCACAACTTGCTATCTTTCTACAAGATTCCCCATTGACGTCATGCCGCGTGTTTCTCATGGCCACCGCTTGCGGCTGCAGGTCCGGGAATATTCTAAGTTTTGCCTCGCTATTACGCTGCGGAATCGCAACATTTCGATGAAAGGAGGTGTGTTTTCTGTCATTTGTGACAAGGTGAACAATACGAAAAGGAGAAAATGCTAATTCTTTCAACATTAAAATCGTTGCACAGCTCCTTTAACTTGTTTACAAACAAACCGGAGCGCCCCTAGCGGACGCCACCGGCGCCGCGCATGCGCGATGGGGGTGTGGGCAAGAAGCTCGGCGTCGCCCATAAACAAACCATTGAAATGCGATGTTGTCGGCGTCGGTGTGAGTCCCTTTGCCCTTTTTCGCGTTCGAATTGTAGATTCTACGTCTTCCTGACGATGTTTGACTACTTGAGCGGCCTCAGCGAAATTGCCAAGGCTCGTTACAGCGCAAAACTTCGGGTGAATAATGTGACATGCGGCGATTCATTCCGCGTGGACGCCGAAGAATGTACGGTAAAGCCTGATTCGCATGATGAGATTTCGCTCGCAATTTTCAGTCGGGACGTCGATCGGGCTGCAAAAGTGTGAACCGTAGCTGAGGTGGCCGACGTCGATGCTGAAAATCTCAAGCAGAATCGGATTAAGTGAATCAGGCATAACAAGTCGGTGATGGCCACTGTAACAATTATCAATACATCCTTTTATCTACTGTTTACATCGAGCCTGCTTACCAACCTTCAAACTTGAGTATTTTGAGGCCTGAACTTACTTCTTATCGCAAGTACCGGGCCAGCGTTTGGTCTACGGGCCGGTGTCGTCTAAAAGAGCAGACGACAAGCAGAAACGTTTGAAACAGCAGACGACAGTTCGAACGATCAGGCGGCCGTTTGAACTTGAAGACGCATTGAACGTCCGCAGGTGGTCCGTACAACTTCGCGGTTTTTCACCGTTCATTTTAGAACAAAATAAACAAAATCTGATGACCAGAAGTGTCCGTGAATTCAATCCGAAGTGCTGCCCGCCCAAGCAATCGTGGTCCGACGGCGTCTGGTTTTCCCTTTTCACGGCACATATCCACATTCTCGGACGAACCGAGCACATGAAAGCTGGCCTTCAAACTTTTCTCGACTCTTTTAGTACAGCCCCAGTCGCGGCGTTTGACGAGAAGGCAGGCTTTTGTCAGGTTCCTTTCAAAACAACGCAGAGATACACGTCTCGCATGGGGACTTCTGCCCACAGCCCCAGGCCGGAAGTGCGACCGACGTGCCACCACCGCGTCGTGACGTAACAGAGATGAACGAAGTCACCGGACCCACCAACACATAAAAATAGATTTATTCATAAAACTATTGTGCCATTTTCAAAGCATATTTAGCAAAAATATAGGAGCATACAATGGGTCCTAGCAGTATAGTAATCTCATCTTTACTTCTTGTCCTGTCCTAACCCCTTTAGGCCTCATGCATGCAACAGATATTTGCACAACTGCCCCTTCATTGGCTTGGCCATGTCTGACAAATACTTGCACGTCAGACGCACTAGTCCCGAGAACGTCCCATGACCAAGGAGAGTTAAAAATGAATAAGAGTTGAGCTTTGTGATTGCAGCAAAGTTTAACAGGAAATTTTGGTTGAAATGGGAAGGTATCTTGTTAAAAACCGGTGGTAATGATACCTGTCATCTGCTATGATATACATTTGGGTGAAACACACACACCAGAAAGCTTTGTTTTGCATAGCTGATTCAAAAACAACATTGTTTGTCATAGTTGGTAAAAGCAAAAACTTATATCTTTCATTGCAAAAAAGTATATTTCTGACAAGAGAAAAAAGAAACAATTTGGTCACTCTTCAACAATCTTCATGGTACAAAGAAGGGAGCTAGAAATGATAACTACTTCCTCCCGCAATTCTCTACTTGGAGTATCGCTAATAATTTTAACAATTTTTTAATTCCGTTTTGCGTCCTTTGTTAAAGATTATTTCCAATGACTTGTGCCTTGGAAAGGACATTGACATATTTCAAGCATTGCCTTTGCCTGATCTTAGCTTGCTATTGATGGAAACTATGGTTCATAGGCATTTTTGAGATAGTCAATTTAAAGCTATATATATACATTTTTGTGTTTTTAGATTTTAAGCTGTGAAGCCGTGTAAAGTGCATCTAAGTTATCTAAGTTTATTTCGGCATGCATTCTTGAGTACTGTCTGCGTCGTATATCAGCAGTTCCATCTTTCAGCTGGTGTGTTTTACTCCATTTGTATATCCTAGAAGTGTAGTGATTGAAAAATAAAAATCCTAACCTTTTCATTTTCTTGCTGAAGGTTAGAGTCTGGGTGCACCATGCTGTGTGCTTTGCTTGTTGTGGCTGCCTGTGGACAGTCTGGTGGGCCTTGATTTTCGGGCTGGCTGGTGGATGGCTGCTCTACGTCTCTGAAGTTTGCAAAGTAATCTGGCTCAGGGCATCGGTCTCTTAGTGCCAGTCTTCCCAGCTCCAGCCGATCTTCTGGTGTGAGCGGGGGTGCATTTGGGAAAGTTCCTCCAAATCTCTCAAGGACCAGCGCCTGGTGCTTACAAAATCCTCCTGACTGGCCCACTCGACACGTGCAGAGGCCCACGTCCTTCCACACATGGTAGGTGATGTCCGGCCGTTCTGCACTAGGCACTTGGAAGGTGTGCTCATCGAGTTGTTTGATGGCGTTGCCAGCTTCAGGGGGCATTCTTTCGAGCAGCTTGTCGTACAGGAGCAAGTGGGCAGCTACACGATTGTTGGCATGTTTCAACAGCCGCCCCTCGAAGTACTGCTCCCACACAGTTGCGACCATGTCCGCAAGGGCCACTGCATTGTAGACTCTCTGCCTCCCAAGGACAGCATCCTTCAGGACTCGAATGGAGGCCTCCGCAAAGTTATTTGTATTATGACCACGGGTCATTATTCCCGTGCGGAAAAGGAGAACCCATTCTTCTTTCTTCTCCAGGTAGTTGTTCACCCGGGCCACGTAGTGTTTCTGGGGGCACTCTTGGAGCTCTTTGGTTGCAGCTTCGAGCTTCGCTGGTGAGTCTGCGTTCATGATCTGAAAAAACAGAAAAATTACCACATTAGTTTAAACACCGTAATGTCCCAAGATACCAAACGATAACCCACCCTAATTCTTTGCTTGATTTTCTTTTTCTTTTTTTTAAACACTGAGAGACAGCCCACTTCCAGTAATCAGTGTTTGGATTAACGATGACGGCGTAAATGCGGCTAGTTAGCTATGGGGGCATGTAAGCGAACATTGCTCACTGGGAAATGCAGCCATCTTTGCTTCAGTGTCTCTCGCTGCAATAAAAGTTTGGCAGAAAAACATAATCTAAATTTTTTTTTACTTTTTTCGTTATTGTACACTGAAAATGATCCCATTCCTTAATTTCACCCAGGGTTGGGCACTATCGCGATACAAATGTATCGTGATAGTACTTCAGAAATACATTTCGTATCTGTATATCTGTATCGCGATACATTTCTTTCACCAGTATCTGTATTTCTGTATTGAAATACATTTTGAATGTTCCTTTGTATCACGATACAATCAGGGTGAAATGTATTTCGTTACATTGCTTGAGATATACTCCCCCCCCCCCCCCCCCTCTAAAAAAAGAAATCCGAACGCATTTTGTTTTTTTACTTCTGAGGGCGCCAGGGTCAAGGAGATGCTGCGGCATGTGCTGACCAAGGTTCCTTCCGATTCTCCAGATTATTTTTCTGTACGTCCTCTTCTCTCTTCTGAGAAGTGTTGGGTAGTTTGGGACCCGAACCAAGTGGCGTGCCAGGAGTGGAGTCAGAGGACCTTGTGCCGCAGGTCCTTACATAGGGGTTTCTTGAGTCGTTGTTTGGTGGCATCCAACGCCCGCTGCTCACCGTGTCTCTTGCCTTATCGTACACAGTACACCCAGCCGGCAAAGCTGATTCACAGTCCGTTGCAGCACGAGCTAGCCTGGTGATGGTTGACTTGAAATAGTAGGATGACCCACGCAGTGAAGTTCCGCACATATTTGAATGCGTCTGCGGCTGCGCCCGTAGTAATTCACGGCTCAAGGGTACATCATCAGCTGACGTGAACGTGACCTGATGCTCCGGTGATCCGAAACCAGAAGGAGGCCAGACGTGGCCTCACTTTGCCGACCCAGACTTCATGCACCTCTGACTCGTCTTGAGCGCACTGTTTTTCGGAGAGCTCGCTCCTGTACGGGGCGATATCAGGTCGCAATCCACAATGTCTTTGTTTGGATTATACAAAGCGAAACTTGAGGACTGCAATCCATGCGTCGGTGGCGGAGGGTCGGCAGGAAGAACCTTCACAACAGGGATGCCACCGTATCGTTTTTTCAACCATAACAGAAGATAAGACATGTGTTCCAGAATGCTTCAGGTGTCCCGCTATTCTCGAAAATTCCAAATGACATTGCCTGCACGATCTTCAACGAGGTAACCTAAAATGAAAGCATGTATTATCCTTTCATTCAGCAGTGTGGTAAAGTTTCATATTCAAGGCTACACCTACAGATAAACAATAGTAGTTCATTCCACCGTGACGTCATGTGATCATTGTTGACAGGGCTGGATGTCCTTATTGGACAGGGGTATGGTGGCGTTTTGATAGGATTTAGGATGACAGAATTTATTTAGAGGTCGAAGTCTTTTCGATCCCTCGTGAGACAGACAAGATGTGAGGGAAGGGACCGCGGTCAGTCCTTGATGGAATGTTTTTTGAGTCCATTCAAGCCTCCTCGTCGTCCAAAATCACTACCCTCAAGGCAAAGTGCCAAGCCTACGGGACAGTAATTTCGGGATCAAAAACTTCCACCTCCAACTTCAAGCTTCATCTCGTTTGGTGTTTCAAACAAATTTTAAGAATGTATTGCTGTATCGGTATTTCTGTATTTATATTTCTGCCCTCCCTAAAATGTATTCCTGTATTTGTATTTCCAAAGACTTTTTGCCTCTATTTAAAATGTATTTTTCTGATACGTATCGCGATACACTTTTACAGATATATTTCAGTATCAGTATTTTAGGTACTAGTTTAATGTATCCCAGTATTTGTATTTCCAAATACATTTTTGAGTATTTGCCCAACCCTGATTTCACCCAATTTGCTCTTGATTTTAGGTTGGCTATCTCTTGGGATATTACAAATAGTTTTTTTACACCTTTCACTACCGTTGCATCATGCTCAGACGAAAACCCAGCTAAATTCGTGAAGGTTCTTCCACTTGCTCATATATAAGCTAAGTTTATATTTATGAACTGTGACCTCGGAAGGTCTCATGTCTTGGGATGGCAAGTAAACGACGCATTTGACATAAAATGAATCCTATAGAGATGGCTGTCTATACCCAATTGAGTGAATTCACAAATCTTTATAACATTTTCTTTAATCTTGAGTCAAAAACGAAAGAACCGTACATGATGGACGCAGGTTGTAAGGGCATCTCTGTCTAACATATATACTCTTGCATAACAGTCAGTTTAATTTGAAACTTTTACTACAATGTAGATATACGGATTCACAAAGTTTCCATTTATTTTCAAATAGAACCAGCACGCGTGCACCATCCCGCTTTGAATGTATGCTTTTCTTCCAAGCACGCAATTGCGATATTCATACTTTTCTAAGTGTTTATTGCAGCGGTGCGGTAAGAAGTGCACCGTTCAGTGCACTTCTTACTGTGCACCGCTGTAATGCCGAGAAGCAACACCCGTGGAGCTCGCTTCCGCGAATATTGCTTCTCCAGAGTGCACTGGTGCTTGGTAAGAAGCATGCTCAATGGGGCTAACCTGCTGCAATCAACGCTTTGAAAAATGCGAATAGTGCAGTTCTTCTCGAAGCGAATATGGAATAACATTTATATTTGAAACTACTATTCAAAATTTTGAATATTTGCACAACCCTAGTTATTTTATCAAGACATATGCCAGAAGCACCAGTTCTTTCTATGACAACCTAATCTCGTAAAAACTAGTTCACGCAGAGTATGAACAATGCCATCGGCGTAACTGCGCATTTCGTTACGGGACTTTTCCCATAGTGACGTCACACGGGCACACCCTCCTCTCCTCCTCCTCAAGACCTGCGCTCAAATTCGGCATTACAGAGAATAGTAAACGTCATTCTTTTTTTTTCTTTTTTGTTCCTTTTTTTCTTTTTGCTAAGTACTGTAACCAAGACCTAGGGTCCAGTCAGAGGACAATTTCGTCTTCAGCTGTTCAGACTCTTTCCATCTTAAATAAAGAAATCCTTCATTCATTCAATTACTACAACATTTTGAAATATCTACTTGCAAGGGCAACATTTCTATGTTGCCCTAACTCCTTTAAATTTAAAACTAGGTTTCTGCGTTTTCAGCGTTTATTTTTCTTCGAATTCGGCAAATAAAATGGAAAGATTCTGGTTACACCCCATGGAATGACTATGTAAAGCATTTTATCTCCCAACCTTTTGGAACGCCACCATTAAGGTTCGCCTCTTGTCTTGTTCCACGTTGCTCATTATCCAACGCCACTCTGCCTGAGCGACATGGAATTGGCACAGTAGCTGGGTCCCCTCTGGCCACGTTGCTTGGAGGGCAGCTTTTTCGGCTGACGAATGATCCGTCATGAAGGCCTCTGGAGCCTGACAAATAGGAATAATGTGACTTTTGCACCATGACTCTGCATATATTATTGACCTAGGGCTTGAATCCCGGTGCTGCCGAAGATTCAATCTTTTGGCTGCTTCGTAACCTTTTGCTTCATTAGATCGGTACAGTTGAATCATCCGCATATTTTCAACAATGTTGTATGTGCTATATACAGATGATCAAAATAACATTTTTTTAACTATCTTGTACTCATCAATGAAACGAGATGCCATCTGAGAAAAGGTGCCACTATCTCATTTTAATATATGTTATTCCATCATTCTGCCTAATTCCAACGGCCAACATACTTAGAAGGTTTGATTATTTGTGAGATATATAACTAAACTTGTGTGTTGAACACCCTTTGTTGCCCTTTGACTGCTCAATGTTATGCAGTGATTGCCAAGCGTTGAGATGCTAAAAATATATGTACAGCAAACACAACTTCAGTGGGGCTGCACTCTATGTGAAAGTTATGACATGAGATTTTTTTACATGCCTGGACAAATAGGAATAGTGGGCAGTAATGCAGCTGAGAGGCTTTTGGCATCCTAAGGCACCTATTTACTATCATCTGCCTGTTTCTCACACACTAAGTAAAGGCTCCGGTGAAATTATCAATATACTTTTTGGCAGTTGGAGGATGATAAGTTTTATGCAATGACAAGAATGATGGTACTAAATCTTTTTTAAATCCTTGAAAGCTTTTTTTATTGAAAAAGTAGTTCTGTGTAGTATGTTTTTGTCAGATAGCAATTGACCATTTGCATCACTAATAATTTTCTCTTGTGAGAAGCTACACTATGCAATCAATTTGGCGATGCTCTTAGTGTTGCATGTTTCACGATTCAGCTCATTCTTTGAGCCCAAATGTTGCAATAATAATTCTGATATTTTCCAGCACTACGATAGTCTTTGTAGAGCGACAGCTGTTATGGCCTGTCCCGCCGGCTTCGTGATGGCGTGAGCGTAAATGAATTCGATTTCCCCGCTAAATTGTAGCAGAAAAATTGATGTCGCGTGACCTTTGCACCAAATGCTTTCCCCCCTAAATTTTGTGCAAAACATTTAGTTCACGTTACCTGACGTGACTGGCCCTATAGAGAAATGCAGGTTCCCCGCTAAATTCAGCGGGAGAATTTACATCACGTCACCTTTGCATTCCACATTAAATTTGGTGAACAAATGCATCTCAACCTTGCTGTTGGTGCTTAAACGTATCACGTCATGTGATTGTCTAGAATTTTTAAGCCCGTTATCTTACTAGAAGGCTATCCCCTAGTCCCACTTGATCAAATCTTACAATTTGTTGCTAGTGCTGACCTCATCAGGGTTTGAGGCTGCTCTCTTTAAAAATGTTTTTCAGAGTACATTGACCTTTTAGTGTGGCTATGATGCCTACAACATGTCTCCAACCGGTGTGTTTACCATGTCCAAATAAGTGGTCCCTCAGTTTCTGCCTCATGACGTCATAGAAGAGTTATGCTGTTGCTGGCCGCGATCCGCTTTCGATGTATGAGTGGGGTAGGATGCTAAACACACCAGTCGGAGACACGTTCCAGGCACTGCAGTATGTCGCAGTAAGTTCTCTGTTCCTCTTGCGCTGTAGAACCGACAAACATAATCCTCATTACACTCATCCACCTTCTGCATTTTTATGATTGATTCTTGCATGATTTGAATGAGGCAACAAACAGTTTGACCGGCTGACTTCGATAGACCCTTTATCAAATTGTCCAAGCACCAAGGAGAATGTTGGGGACGTAGGTACATGCACTCGCCTCAGCTCTCTAATAGCTTTTATAAAAAGGAATTGCCAAATGCACATGCTAAGTTCCATTTGCTTTAGACTTTAAGTTTAGAACAGTTCCTTCTGTAGATGCCAGCACGTGCACATGCACTATGCCCCTTGGTGCTTGGGTAATTTAGCAAAAGGTCTAGTAAACAAAACAATTTAGCTTCACTCTGAGGTCTTTGAAGCCTTAGGCCCACTTCAGACGGGGCAATTTCGCCCAGCAACTTGACGTCGCAACTCCAGCAACACGGGCCGCCCGCGTTCACACGCAGCAACCGAATTGCTACGACTTGCCATCATCATCATGAAATTTGATTTTTCTTACACTATTTAGACGCACAGCTGCGCGCTAAAAACGTGTTTTTATATCTTTTAATGGTGTTGAGAATACTAACTCATCTTTCTGGAAAGGTTTATTTCCAAAAACGATCCATTTCAAGCCAGAACCAAGTTTATAGTTGTCGTCGTCACCACCACAGGGGTGTCGCGTGAAAATATTGCATCCCTGATTCGCTGCAGCCGTTTCAAACGTCTTCGAATTGCTCCGAGTTGCTCGCTCGTTCAAGCCGGACCCGATCTCAGCAATTTGTGCCGAGCTAGGGAAAGCTAGGGAACAACCCGCCAGCAACCTCAAAATTGCTGGAAAAGTTGCCCCGTCTGAAGCGGGCCTTATAAATGCATGTAGCTTACTCACAGCAGCACCCCCAAAGCAGAGTGGGTAATTCTGTTTCACAAGGCCAAATGCAGACATGTAGCCTTGCGTGGTCTGGGAGCTGTGGATGACAACTGCCAAGGGTATGGCGCCGGCCTTTGGTGCCACGAGGAGGACGGTGGTAGTGCTCTGGCTGTCATCAACGGAGGATGTGGAGTCGATGAAGATTATGTCTCTCGCCGCTCGGTTCTCCTGGACCCTCTTCATCAGAGGCGTGACTATGAGCACAGCCCAGCCAGCACCATCTGCTCCCTTCGTTGTCTTGATGTCGGCACCTGCAAAGTATGCAAATTTAAGGAGTTATTGTCACCTGAATCACGCTTCAGCTGTGTTCCAGTTGCCCCTAGGCTTGCTGAGCCAGCAAGCCAGTAACATTGTCATGTGACCATGCTTCTGCCCTCATGAGATGGAGGTTTATCTATTAGAGCAGTGGTTCTCAAATGGGAGTTTGCAGACCCTTTGGGGTCCGCGAAGGCATTCTAGGGGTCCGCAAAGTTCTGCTTCATCAGTCTAGCCCAGCAATAAAAGTTTGTCTTTTTCTCAGATTGAAAAGAAACATTATAACTTTCGGGTGAGTTTTCTCGTGTGTATGTCAATGAGCGAAATCTACTTCACACTAGCCCTTTGTTATATCTGTTTATAAGATCATTATCATAATTAACCTATACCATTCCCCTCCCTTCATCGCAAATGGGGTCTACAAGGAGTCCGCAAAAGAGCAGTGGTTGAAAACCACTGCATTACAGTATAATTATTTTTTAAGTTTCCTCTTCATTGCTGGTGTTGGATCCAAAAGCTTCTCTTTTTATGTACAACTCTATCGCTTTACAAATATGTAAGCAATTAAACCTAAAATAACCAAGTGACACATGTTGTGAATCCAGAATAAATCAGACTTCTTGAATTTATGCAGCACAAGGTCAGTCTATTTTGAGAGATTATATTATCTCATAACATTTGGGGGGGGGAGGAGGAGGGGGGGGAGGGGAGGGGAGGAGGAGGGAGGAAGCAGGGCAGGGGTGCATTTGGTTAGTGCACTGTTACTTGAGCAGAGTATTGAATGTCTAAAACACTCAACATACACTTCGTAAATTGCCCATCTTGTAAAAAAAGTACCAGGATTAATCTTGCAAGTTTCTTTGGCCATGTGTGACCCCGGAATAGCTACCCTTTCCTTGTGATGCTCGTGGCAGCCATATTGACTTTTGATGGAATAGGTTTTGGGTTGTTCCCATACTACTGAGGGCACATTTTATATGCAGGGTGTGGCCGTAAGGACCACCAGATTTTAGCACGCATTGTAAAATTTGAATTTCATACATACCTAAAACTGGACATGTGAATGTGTTTTTGCAAGCAGTTTATGTCCATTTTTCTTTACAGTGCAACTTTGAGGTGGTAACATTAGAAATGGGAGCAAACGTAGTGTTATTTTCTTATTTCTGTGCTGCTCCTATGCACCTTCTGCATCCAGCAGGGATGCACGAATGCCAGACGACAAACGCAGGTAACAAAATAAAACAAACATTTCTTTTGCTTTAGAATTAAGTTGTTTTTGTTTTTTTTGTTTTTTTTTGTTTTTAAATGCGAACTGAAACTGCATCATCAACGTCCACATTGCCGCGTGTAAGGCGGAGTTGGCAGGAAGGGAAATGCGATATGGCGGAGAGGGATACATGAAGGAACAAGGTTTCAACTCCTTTAGGCCCAGGTCTTCCTTTTATAATTCTGTGGTCTTCTGTAATTTTGCAGTTCATTTTCAGCTGCCATCAAGTGTTCTAGTTTGGAACATTTCAGAACCTACCGCTTGTACAAAAGCGATAGTAATGCACTGTTTTGAGATAGCTGCCCTGAAAACATAAGATACTGGTACCTTTGACTTTAAGTTTGTAGGCTTAAGTTAACCTCAGTAAGTATTTATTTTCTGTTCTAGATTTCTTTACCCATTTCTATCTGTGAAAATATATGTAGATTAAACCATTATTTATCATGGTCATCCTTCTCGTCACCAGTCTCTCCTATGACTATCTCAGGGTTTTTGCATTCACCACGCCACCTGGGAGCAAGCTTGCAAAGCAGTGTGCAGACGAAGAGCAGACCGGTAAAGGACAAAGGAAATTCACGGCTGCTGTTTTGCTCTACTTTTTAAAATTTCACGAGCTGAAGTTGAGTTCCAAAAAAATAGTCATAAAAATTATTGAAAAAATTACTTGCGTGCCCTGTTTTAGGTATATACTTTTGGAATTTCAATTTTGCAAGGTGTGCCAATTGTGCTATAGTCAGTTACAGGTTAACAAACGTTTTGGAGGGAAAGCAAAACTGAAGAGGAAGAACCAGACAGAACGCCGGTGAAAGGAGGAGGCTTCCTCCTCTCCCCTCCAGCATTGCATTCGCTCCCTCCTCCCCAGCCCCCCTTTGCCTCAAAACCTTTTCTTAACCTGTAAGTGACAAGAATCCTATAGGGTGACAGGGTGACTATACTATATATAGCCCTATAGGGTGACAGGAATACCCAGGCTTGATCTAAAATGGGCTGTAAAAATCTGAGCTTGCATGTAGCAATGTAAGCTTTTTTTCAAAGGTGTTTTTCACAGGTCGGTTTTATCTTCTCAAATTACAAAGCGTAGCTCCCTTTCCATAAAAAATCAGGCCAACAAAGTTGCCAGGGTCAACGGCGGCCAGTGACGCAGACGATCGAGTCCAGTTGCGGGGCACGTTTGGTGCACATATTGATAGATGGTGCACCTCATTATCGAGACTGCTCACGACGACCGTGGTCGAAAAAAATTAACGTAATCTTTTTGTAATATTTTTTTGGTTTAAAAATATATGGGGACAGTAATAGAAAAACTTAAATAAACAAAGATTTAAAAAAGATGTGGTTGCGTAACTGGCGCTCTTGCTGGTGACAGATTTCGTCTGCGTGTCGCCTGCTTTCTTTCGCTTGTTGGCTACACCAGCCGACGCCATCTATCAATATGTGCGCCAAACGCTCCCCGCCACTCGACTCGGTCGTCTGCGTTGCCGTCTGTCGTTTGCCCTGGCAAGCTTTTGGCCTTATTTTTTTATAGAAAGGGAGCTGTGCTTTGTAATTTTGCATGGCAAAACCAACCTGTGAAATACACTTTTGACGAAAAGTTTAGGTAGCTACGTGCAGAGGCCGATTTTTACGACCCCTTTTTTATCTCAAGTCTGGGTATTTGGGACAACCTGGTACCTCATGACCATGGCGGTATATTCTGTGATAGGAAAAGCATCTCTGTTAGAAGCCTTCAAATAATGATGACATACCACTCTTAAGGTAGAGTGCCGTTTTCTCCTCCAGCTTTGATATTGGGTCCTTGCGCTCTCCGAATTGCTGCTGGCGCCAGAGCTTGTTCCAGTAATAAACTGAATTTGCCTTGGGATTTACTGCAGCATTGGCAAGCTGCTGTGGGCCATCATCTTGAAGTGAAAGTTTTCTTGCATGCAGAGTCATGGCCTCTGCTACGGTGAGGCCGTCATCAAAGTAGCCAAAGAAAACTTCCCGTGCCTCTGGCGTGCTTCGCAGGAGTCGCAGTCCATCGGCGCATTTTAGCTGGTGATTGTGTTTCTCATTGAGCTTGATGACCCCAGCAAGTGGGATATCTCGCACTAGAAATTTATCATTCTTCTGTGTGCCAGGACTGACTTTCTTGATCTTAATGTCGACTGATGCACAGCAGTTGGTGCAGTGACGACCGGCGGTCTTGTTTTTGGCATTGTGTTGACATTTCCAGGTCTTGTGAAATACCATCCTGTTGAAATTGAACATATTATCAGTCAGGCCTATATTGATGTGGAAGATTTTATAGAAGTACAGTCTATTTTGAAAATTCTGCACACATTGTACAATTCGATACCATAGGCATACAGCCGAACAACCCCCCCCCCCCAAAAAAAAAAAAAATTAAGTATGCATTAATTTTTTAAGAAACATGATATGAATACTGAAAATGTACTTGCTTCAGTACAAATTTACTATTTTTTACAGGGAGTATGCCATGGGGATGCACACATCATTGAGTCCTGGAGAAAAGCTCACCGGAGAAAAGCTCTGCTCGCACAATTTTCTGTGGGTCTGGAGAAAAGCTCGTCATGGTCTGTTGCAGGTTAAGACGAGCAGAACAAGTCCCCCTTGCAAAGCTCTTTGCTCATCATAATTGGTGGTTCTCCTCTCCACTCGCCTCCTCCAGCGTTCACTTTATTCAAATTGAAAGAGTGGAGGGCTTTCTGGGAGGAGCTTGTTCTGCTATTCTCAACCTAGACTTGACAAATCTAGAGAAAACATCATCTGAATTATTATTATTATTTTTTTTTATAATGTGGTTGGTATTATTTTACTTTCAAAGCTACAGGTGCGTCCCACACAACGCTGTATTTGCTGCAGCCCATGTTCCACTTGTAAGTAGACCATGTTCACATGATTATTTCCAGATTTAATTTTGGCATAGCCAGGTTGCAGAAAATATAAACATTACTGTATATTAAAGAGCACTTGTAGTTGAATTGGTAATTTCTTAAATAGATACTGAAATGTAAAGATTTAAAAGTGCAGTGCCACCTGCTACGTAAATGGTTATTTATATAACAATCCACAAAACTACAGAAGTTACAGTGTGCTGCTCTGGCTATATTTTCACTTCACTTTCACTGCCATTGTACAGAAGCTGTATTTTACTTTGTGTTTTACTTTTTCCCATAAAAAAATTGCTAGTAAAGTGCAGAAAAGTTGCTCGCACATATGACATCCAAACATACTTCAGTGACATATATGTAGGTGAGGTTTTGTCTGCAGCCAATGGTTTTGCAGTGAGTTTTTTTTTTCCTGTGAGCTTATCTCCGGTAAGCTTTCCTTGGTCTTCCCTCATTAATTGTTAATAAGGGAAGGAGCTTCCCCTCAACTCTTGACCTGTCACCGACTTTAGGGCTTAATTCCTTTCTTACTTTATTAAAATATGCAATACTTTCATTGCTGTTTTGTAATTAAAATAATATTAGAATGGTTGCGAAAAAAATTAATTTTCTGCATTGACTACAAGCAGTGATGTGATTGCTGCGCCAATTGCACCAAACTGCGCCAAGGGGCTAACCCTGCTACATCCTGCTACATTTTGCCAAAATATGGGTAATCTGCGCCAAACCTGCGCCAAAGAACCAGTTTTGGTCGCCTTTCAAAACCGAAACTAAACTGAGTACCGTAATTGAGCCTGCGTGAGCTAGGTGGCGCAAGCGGCCACCCGACACAAAGTACCCTGCATCAATCGTGACATTGTAACCCTTGAGCCGGTGTAGGACGCCGATCTCACTACCCCTCCGCTCCGACTACGGTAGTGGTTTTGGCGTACGCCAAAATCAATACCGTAGTCATTTCGGCGTACGCCATAGTCAATACCGTAGTCTTTTTCGCATACCCCAAACACACTACCCTTACGCCAAATTCAATACCTTGAATAACGTCGGCTGAGCAGGGGTTGAGCTCCGCATTTCGCTAAAACTGGCGGAAGTAACTTTCTGCAGCATAACACCCTGATTGTTTGTTGTTGTTTGTATGAGCGGCGGAACGCGCGCGGCAGGCGTCAATTAATGAATTGTGATTAGCGTTGATACGGCTGACGGCGCGCAGAGCTTAAGGGCACAAGCAAGGAAGCTTGGAGTGATTCTGTGTCGATGTGATTTGACATCGCTTCTTTCTGGTTCTTCGATCATGGTGCAAATGCAGGTGCCCGACTCCCGAGCGATTCGAAGGCAAGAGTGGTAGCCTGTCCGCTGGTCTTTCAATCGCATGCACTATCGTCATTTTGGGCACAGCGGAAGAAAATAAGACGGTCACTATTTTAAATAGCGTGCGATCGGCCTGTCTAGGTTCTGGCGACACCGTTTCAGGCTGTAGATGAGAAAATTTAGCCACTACAGTACGACTGCTAGCCTGGGGTCTGTGCCTCGCAACAGATCGAAACGGGTAGGGGTGGGGATCCCTGGCAGCGGGACCTTTCGCCGTACAAGCTGCGGTGCGCTAACACACTCGACTTCCGATACCCCCTTGGGTCACAGCGCTTGCTGAAAGAAGTTTGGATCGTTTTACGCAGATTTTGCAGTGCGTACGAGACGCGCAACAGCTACGTACTACGTCCTAGATGCCCAAACTGAGGCTCGCTACTTGTGCGCGGCTGTCGTGATCTGCAGCTGGGAACAGTATGCTCGCCATGAAAACGTTGCAGTGAGAAGTACGGAAAAGTAATACTATAAAAGTATAGTATCTAAAACTGGCTTACATTGTCACTGAACATATGGAAATAAAACTGATTAGGAATGCCGATCAGATGGGTGGGAATGTTATATATAATGTGCTCAAGTTATGTGTGGCGTCACGTCGGCACTGGAATTCAAACTGGTTGCCCCCACCCCCGCTCCTAAATTCTTCCAATGCTGCTGGCAGCTTTTTTATATATATATATATATATTTATTGTAACTTTAAAGGCCCCAACAGGAGCATTACATAAGGAGTGTGTGTGTGTGTGTGTGTATGTGTGTGTGTGTGGGGGGGGGGGAAGTACTTGAAAAATACAAAAGATCAACATATGAACAGACAGGTGGCTGATACCTACAGGGCTGGTGAGTAATATAAACAGTGAGAACAAGTGTGTGTGAAATAAAACTGGTACATAAATACACTTGCTAAAAGAGTAATCGAAGCATTGCGGAACAAGACGGGGTTACCTATTGCCGGGCAAAACCAGGGTAATCACCGACTCGCACCAAGCATACCGCAGCTTCCAGTCGGGCTCGGTGCCCTGAAAAGCGCTGCAGGTGCTCAAAAACAAAAGACCCCCAAAGGAGCCCATAGAATTTAAATGGGTACCTGCCCACTCCGTGGTAGAGGGCAACAAACTTGCTCACCAGCAGGCCTGCGCGCTGACTCACCGGGCCACAGCCATGGAAGAGGTGCAGGACCAACCCATGGTGACCTAAAAGGAAATACTAGTCGCACTCTACTGCAAGGCCCTAGATGACACGTTGCTGACACATGAGGAAGTTCTTCACCCAGGGATGAGCAGGCACAAAGAACCGTCGGTGAACCTGGATCTGAAAAAAGATGCAGCATTGCGTTTTTTGAAGGCTAGCCCTGTTCCGTTTGCAATGTGTACCGCAGTGGAGGCAGAACTCCGGATGCTCCAAAGCTAAGGCATAATCGAGCCAACACAACACTGAACGCTGTTGAAAAACTGGCGGTAAATCTGATGCGGGCTGTAACAAATTTTGTGGTGAGCGTGCTTGGAGGCACTATTTTTTAACAGTGGACCTCACTAATAATAATAATAATAATAATTTTTATTTGCACGAGAAAGTTTGCCCACTCAGCGGCGTGCGAGGCTAGACAGAAAGGTTAATACCCTTACGCATGTGCGCTTGCTAGCCCGCCGCTGAGTAGGTATAAACATAAACAAACTGTAGTCGTAAGTACAAGATAACACATATACATGTATGGAAAAATGAATAATCAGAGGGGAAGATAAGAAAACTCGCTGTGCCCCAACCCACCCCCACGCAGACCACGGCAGAGGCCCCAGCCACAAGGCATTCCACTAGCTGTGTGTGACAGTGGAGACAGCAGATATGCTCACCATAAACACCATCAAAGGACGACACAGAGTGAAAAGGATGCTCTTGAAAATTTCGGCTGCCGCGGCAATTTTTCAGCTCTGCAAGGAGACAGTCCTAGCAGGAAAACCCATCATGGAATTCTACCTGGGTAATGTTGTTGTGACGATCTGGATCGGTCATCAAGATAAATGGGCACCGTGCTCAGGAAAGACATGTCAACGTCATCAACTACCATGCCAAAACTACTTCTTTTATTTCGATCATGAGCGCTTGCACGAGCCGCTTCTGAGCGATGTCTCTTGCAGCTCGTCACGTGCCAAGGGTTTTAAGTGTCGACCTGATATCACGCTGCCATGCAACAAACAGTAAAAAAATACTGCATTGAGCAATATGCACATGATTAAATAATGATATACATACGACGTGATAAATGAGAAAAAAAACTTATCAAGTTTACAAAATTCAGTCCCCAGGTAGAGGCTGCACAAATTTGACGACCGGCTTCAGTTTCTCCACATGCACTACATTGCGGCCAGTACCGTCCACGAGTTCAAGCTCGTAGTTCACGGGAGAGAGCCGGCTCACGATTTGGCGAGGGCCAGTAAATCATAGTGTTGCCTTGACTCTGATGAGTGGGCTCTCCTACAACTCGAGCTAGTCCTTAAAAAGAACATGCATGTGCCACAGTCAAAGTCGCTTTCTTGCTTTTCTTGAGCAAGCTTGATTTGTCTGGAGGTCACCTTCCGAGCTGCGTACCGCTGTCAAATGTGTCACCAACGTTGGTGCTGAGGGTTGACAACTTTCCAAGGTTCTGAGACAGAAGTCCCCCGGCAAAAAAAGGCTTAATCAACGGAAAATGTGGTCAGTGTTCGCATTGCTGAGCTTAATTGTCTTGATGCCCACTGCAGCACCAGAGGTGATGTAACAAACTACTAATGACACATTACAGGCGGTAGGGGCATCAGGTTTTCACTTTTCTCCGTCAACAATGCAACAGACTCAAAGTGCCGTTGCCATTCCAGAAATTCTTGGGTCAGCTCTTGCCGGCATCACGTGACAAAGTGGCCGCGTCTCTTACAAATGGGACGGAGCGGACAAACTTCAGGGTTTTGGGACGAAGAACATTGAAAGTCCCGCGAAGTTTTTGACAC